GGCTCATCGAAATGTTTCAGTATCGCAGTCGATATAGGAGGCCTTCCACGTTTTGCACAGGTCATCCCAGGACGGATCTCCGTAGATAATGACATCGATGTACAAACTCCGGGACAGCACAGGTCCTATCTGCTCTGGGGAACACGGTTCTGGTAGAACACGGTGTCAGTGCTGGTCCTGGAGACCACCGCCCCCGGGGCTCCGTGCCCTGGGATACCGGGGTGCCCGAGTCCTCGGGAGAAATCGCTAAAAACTCCAACACCTCCGGGTCGACAAGCCATTCCTCTTCAGGGGGTAGCCGTACGAAGCCTCAAAGACAATTGACCAGAAGCTGTTGGTAGCTCAATGAGGTGTTCTTCAACCCGAACGGCATGCGCTTCCACTGAAAGTGTCCGGGTGGCAAATGAAGGCCGAGATCAGCTGAGCTCGGGCGTCATAGGAACCGCCCTGAACCCACTCGCCATATCCAGAGTCATGAACCACATAGTGGCGGCGAAATTGCTCATGAGTTCGTCGATTAGGGATAGAAGGTAGTTCGTCAGCTTGATCAGCTGATTCACCAACCGGTAGTCGTTGCACAGGCAGACATCGGTACCATTCTTCCTCATGACGAGGACGATGGGCGATGCCCACTCCGAGTCGGAGTACTCGATCAAACCAGTTTCCAGGAGACGCTTGAGCAACTCGTACACCTTGGACAGTAAGTCGGCAGGAATCCTCCGGGACCGCATGGAAATGGGTTTTGCGTCCCCAACATCCACGACGCCCCGTGCAGGGGGAGGAAGCGTGTTTCCTTCTCCCAAGAAAATCATTCGGTGTTTCCGTAGAATCGCCCGGAGTCTCTCTTCCTCTTCGGGGTCCGACTCTCCGAGTTCACTGACGATCGCGTCGTCGATGTTGCCTCGGGCTGGGGTTCACAGAGGTCGGGGAGGTACGCAAGCTGGTTCTTGAGCATGTCCAAGAGCACGTAGTAGGAACCTTGGTGATAGTAGACGGTTGGTTCTGCGTCCAGCCTCTCCCTAGCCATGTCCACCATCACGAACGACCGAGCTAATACGGCTTGGGTGTCCATGGGAGCGGACTCGGGGGATTCCAGGACGGATTCCCGAGACGCTGCGAGTGTTGGAGCGGGCCCGCCCCATGAGGAATACTGGGCT